TTTTCCGGAAACTCGACTAATCACGAATTAATAGCAACATCGGTGTCTGGGTATCACGATTTTCTAAACGTACTCGCGTGACTTTTCGTTGAGTCGGCGCCAAACTTTCCCTTTTTAAATTGTTTCTCTTTTCATCCCTCCCCACATTTATCATCAATGAGATAATTGATATTCACCCTATCCGGACTTCCTTTTTTTTTTTTTTTTTTTTTTGAAGAATAATTTTTCATATATACGTGTGTACAAATTATATCAATCTCTCGAAATTGATTTATAGACGGTAAATAATTTTTGAAATAAGAATCATGATAATTTCTCGCTTTATATTTTCTTTTTTTTTTTTTTTTATAGTAATTAAAATAATATTTCGATGATATTTAATTTTTAATAAATAGAAGAATGACATTTAATATAATAAAGAAATTTTGTATAGGAATTTTTTAATGAATTTTACGTAAATAATATTATCTTTAATTGATTCTATATTTTTAAACAAGACGAATAATTTTTTAATACAACAACGAATAATTCGAATTTTATCGACATTGTCATAAACGAGGAGAAATTGTCTTTCGATTAAAATCCAATAATAAATACTCAGAATACACTGTATTTGCTAATCCACCAAAATTACATCTACGCTGTTTATGTAGACGTAATTCCTATTCAGATTCAACTTTATCATACAACATGGTTTAATGTTATTAGTCATTGCCATATACGATAATACATATTAGACGTATACATGTATGATATATGTATATATGTATAACTGTTGAAACTCGTAGAATAGATATCATTAATTCCTTGAAACTCATGGAGAGCAGACATAACGATTAATATTAATAGCTCGACTATAGTAAATCAAATGGTATATACATAAATAACAACATTCGTATAATAAATTGATTATATTTTATATATATATATATATATATATATATATATATATATATATATATATTGTGCGTTACTGAATTCGAATAATCAAAATGCACAATATGATCTGAAATAAAAATTCTTATTGAAGTTCATAAAAAGAGAAATAAAAATAAAAAATAAAAAATAAAAAATAAAAAAAAAATAACAATGTAAATATAATATTTCGAAATGATTAAATTTTAAGGTGAACACACAGTATGTAAATATATATATATATATATATAAAGGAGTAAAAATCGATAATAACAAATCATACAAAGACCTATCGTACTTCATTCTCTACGCATAGTAATATATTTTAGAAATACCAAGCCATAAGTAATCTTTCAATAATAAATTTATACCATTATGTCTATCGATTATTCTCTTTATTCTCTTATTATTATTCTCTTATTATTATTCTCTTATTATTTATTCTCTTATTATTATCATTTTAATAAGCATGATTAAATTCTCCATTTAATATAGGATATTTGATCTATAATACAATTTGATTTAATGAATTTATTTAACCGATCAATATGCATTGACCATTGTTTGTTTGTTTATTTTATTTATTTATTTATTTTTTTTTTTATTATTCTAAAGAAAAACAATCCCAAGCATAATCACGGTTATATGAGAGATAGAGACAAAATAATATATAATTTATGTCACCCATGTGTATCGTCGAAGTGGGCGAAATTGAATTCAAACGAGAAAATAAATCTTCTGCGATATGAATCAGCTCGTTGCGATCACAACATATCTTTTCTACTCTGTCTTTCACATACGACACACACACACACACACACACACACACACACAGGCTCGCGCTTTCTTTTTTTTTTACTTGTTTCTTTTTTTTTTTTTTTTTTTTTTTTTTACATTTTCTCCTTTCTCGTTTCCATAGTTACCGTCCAACAATACAGAGAGAATATTCTCACAGATTTTATAATTTTTCAATAATTTGCTAATTTATTTCATTCATTTTTTGCCCCTTTTTTGTATTCTATTTCTTTTTATTCTCTCTCTCTCTCTCTCTCTCTCTGTCTCTGTCTCTGTCTCTCTCTTTTTTCACTTTCTTCTTAGTAAGTAATTTTAAATGAACGGTAGAAAAAGTTTACGTTGAGAAGAAATTCGCAGAATAAATTTCTTTAGTAATTCCGATAATATCATAATGAAACTGTTCATTTTTAACATTTGTAAAAAAAAATAATGACCTATCCGATAACGTAAATCCGATAAAGGAAAATGATACTAGTACTACGTGGAACGTATTAAAAAAAAAAAAAAAAAAAAAAAAAAATAGAAAGAAAAAGAAAAGAAAAAAATTAGGTTTCCAATATTTTTTCTATTAAAGACAATTATTCTTTCTCATTTATTTATTCTTCATTTTTTCTTTTTTCTTTTGTTTTTGTTTTGGTTTTGTTTTTTATTATTATTTATTTTATTCTTTTCATTTTTCAGGTGAATACCACGTTATTGTTCGTCGGGCCACAACATCGAACGACCACACCGACGGCCGCATCGATCCCTTTAATACATCCGATCTATCCAGAAAACGTCGTAATTGCTCGTGTCTCGTCTCGATACTTTCGTGTAGCACAACCGACGAATAAAACCGATCCAAGAATATCTTTTAGTATACACGGATCGAAGGCTTTCAATGTTACCAAAAAGGATGGTATTGTACACGTGATCAATTCTACTCTACTTAAAACATCACCGCCCATCGTATCGTGAGTTTAATATTTTACTACTTAATTAAAAGACAAGTATATATATATATATATATATGTGTGTGTGTGTGGGTGTGTGTGTATGTGTGTTAAAAAAATGTTTATATATATTAGAGAAAGAGAGAGAGAGAGAGAGAAATAATTAGTAGCTTTACTAGTCTGCAGATTTAAAGAAATAGAAAGTTTAATGGTTCAAGGTATAAAGAAAAATGAAATTTTATGGAAATAAATCTTTTTAAAGGGACAATTTTACAAATCAAAATTTATTAGATATTAAAGTGAAGAAAAAAATGAAAAAAAAAAAAAAAAAAGAATAATCGAAAAGAAATTTTATTATCACAATTTAAGACAAATGAATGATAAATAAATAAATAAATAAATAAATAAATAAAAAAAAGGCAACGAAAAATAAAAAAAAAATAAATAAATTTGAAATCCAATAAGAATCATTTGACGCGTTTGTTTTATTATTCGTTTGTATGTATGTTCGTTCGTTCATTCGTTTCTTTTTCTGTCCTGTTTAGTTTGAGATTAGAATGGCGAGTAGGAGAACAACCTGCCTCATCGACAATGATACAAATTATTATTATCGACGTCCTACCACCGAAGTTGAATATTTGCAATCAAATCGAAGAAATAGTTCATTCCTGTGCCAATGCTGAATCTCGTCGTGACTGTGAATTGAGCTGCGGAGTTGGTGGTGGTAATCTCAAGTATGTTATTTTCAATCCTCGTATTTAATCTTTCAATCTAGATTAAGATCTTGAAATTGATAAAATTAATATAAAGGATTTCTCAAGTTTCATAAATTTTTATTACAATTTATTTAGTTCTTTTTTTTTTTTTTTTTTTTTTTTCTTATTACTATTTTACGATTTTTTTTCATCTTCTTTCATCTATCACTCATCTTTGCTTGCATACGTGTAAAAATTATATGTATATATATTTTAATCGGAATATATTTAAAAAAGAAAGAAAAGAAAAAAGCAATTATATTTTAATATTAACGCTATAACTTAAATAAATGAAAAAAAGAAACATTCAAGAATAAGTAATATGCTTATGCAAAATTGCAAAACTATGAAGATTATTTGCTCCTGCTAGTATCGAAAGTTAGTATGAGCATGTGCATGTTCATGAACACGAACACAGTTGGATGGATGAGATGAATGGATGGATGGCTGAGTTGTGGGTGGATGGATGGATGGGATGGAAGGAAGGATGGATGGATGGGATGGATGCAAAATAATCTTGATGGATCTACAATCGTATAATATATGCACATACTAATCTGTTCTCAAAGTCTTTGATTTTTTACTTTGTTTTTGTTTTTACTTTGGTTACTTGTGTTTCGTAAATACAATCGTTGATTAAAAAAAAACTCCTATAAATAAAAATTTTATCAATATAATTATTGATAGTACGTATTAGCCAACGTGATTATTATTCCATTTAAAAAGATTTTTTCAATAAAACTATTGAACAAAATTACATATCTTTGTTTTATATCATTGAATTGATTTCATTATCGATTACAACATCACGTAAAAAATTCACTCGATTCTTTTTCTTTTTTTCTTTCCTGCAAAGAGATAAGAACTTGTGTCTACAATTTTTATATTTATATATATATTTTTTTTTTTCGTTTAACATTTTCGAAAACATTTTTTTTTTTACGCTTACTGGAAATGACTTTGAAAAAATCGTAACGACCTTTGCGCGAAACACCCTATATATTAAATTGTATGTGTACTCGTACAAATATACACACACAAACATACAGACCCAAACATTATTTTGTTTTGTGAATTTACAAACTCGGCTCTTTGATTTTCTTTAGCAAAGACACATATGTAGGACAATGCATATGGCGTTCGAATAACAATAGTATGACAACACAAATGTCGGAACGTTATGCAACATGCTCACCGGATTTAAACTTTTGTCCTGATTACACGTGTGACGAATTGGAACGGCTTGATCATCGTATTTGTCCACAGGATTGTACCATAGAATGTAAGTTAATCGTTGTTTATTTGTTCAAACTCATATTCATTTAGATTATTAATTATTGTTACAAATAGAATAAATATCGTTTAACAATATTCGCAATCGATGACAATTATTCTTTCAGAAAAATTTTTTAAATATATATATATATATATATATATATATATATATATATATATATATAATTTATTAAAATAATTCTTTAAGTTTTTAAAGATTATTATAATAAATTATCATATTGTTGAACAATAATTGTACATTTAATTATATATTTAATTAAAATTGCATTTGTAATCAATATAAATGAATGATATTAATATCGTAATA